CCCCCCCCCCCAGCCAGACAGCACATACCTCCTTGAAGGGGGATCTGGGCGGCACCCCTCTGTGTCTACCAGATCACAGGAGTTGCCTTCCTCACTCCGATTCTGCCTCATATAACGGCATTGACAACGTTCATTCTAGTTGCGACCTGACTGTAGAATACCACAAAACTGGAGTACAAGTCTGACAGTGTAAATCTCATCCTGAGAATGAAAAAAAAAAAAAAAAAAGAGTCATTTATTCACCTGTTTTGGACAAAAAGCCACTCTATGTGATTTCTCTATTCCGACGTGGATATTTACAAAGGAAATAGTCATAGATGTTGCCCTCTTTTTGGTCTCCTAGAAAAAAAAAAACCTTGAAAAAGTTTTCCTCGGAAAAGCAGAGTCATCTAGCAGACCCTGTGGCTAATGTACAATTAAACCATACAAAATTAAACACATCTCACATGACTGTCACGGGTTCCCTCTGAAGAGCTGAATCACATATACGAAAGCAAACTCCCCCTAGAAGAATGACAGAAACATGGAAACCGGGAGGCAGCCTCGTGCTAAAGACCCAGCAGGGAGGGAGCTTGGAAGTTAGCCACGACCTAAATTCCTACGGTGCTGAAATACTACCATTTTAGTCGACCCACAAGTGTTTACTTGGCATCTCCATTGTTGCCTCTGACGTTGCACGGGGTCCGGAGGGGAAGCTGAGGGCCAGCGGGACTGACCGACTCCCCCAGGGTCACGCTGCGGCCCAAACCCTGACTGAAACCCAGGCCTCCTGACTCGAAGAACAGTGCTTGCTGCTCTCTTCCTGATGCTTGTTCTCCAGCGGGGAATGTTATCCATGCAGATAGAACACAACAAAGTCAGAGCTATATTGTTGTTGTTTCCCATCCCCCCCCCCCCCCTTTTTTTTTAAATTTTTTTTATTTTGAGAGAGAGAGAGAGAGCAGGGGAAAGGCAGAGCGGGGGTGGGGTGGGCGGAGAGAATCCCAAGCAGGCTCTGTGCTGTCAACAGAGAACCCGACATGGGGCTTGATCTCACGAACCCTGAGACCATGCCGTGAATGGAAATCAGACGCTTAACTGACCGAGCCACCCCGGTGCCCGATATGTTGTTTCCTTTTATAAGGCTGCTCCTTTCTTGAGGTCCCCTCAGTAGATGCTGTCAGTGTGCCCTGACACTGGGTGTGCTTTCTGCCACCAGCCACCCCATCTCTGCCGTAGCCTGCTTTACCTGTGCTGCAGAAAGCCGGGTCTCCCTGGCGATCATCCCCCTCCACAACCTGTAGTCCGTAATGGACCACAGGCAGAAATGGGGATACGAATGTTCCCATCCCTGTCCTTGGGTGGGACAACTCTTGAGGTGTGAGCTACCCCTCCCCAAGTCACCTCGGCTTGGTGTCACAGCCTTACTTGGTCCTCTTTTCTTCCCTGCCCCACTTCCTTATTCCCCTAATGATTTTTCCTGGGAACACTCCCTAATACATCATTTTCCTATGAATATTCCTTGTCTCAAAATCTGTGTCCAGGGAATAGAAGTGAAAAACCACTGACTCTGAAATAATAATATTATTATTATTGTGTCGATACTTATTAATACAAGAATATAATCTATTATTGTCATTATTCTTGATTTTAGACACTTTATTGAGTCTCTTTGGTCTAAATTTCCTTCTGTGTGAACATGGAAAATTCTCTCTCTCTCTCTCTTTCTCGGATATCAACTGCTTATTTTAATGTGGGTGTGGGTTGGGGGCTTGGCACTCAATTAGAGAGAAGCAGGCCAGGTCAGTGCTTTGGTGAGCACCGAGGCTTCAGCCAAATAACTTGCTGACGTGTCTATCACTAATGCCTGTGACTACAGGGTGAAAAAAGTGTTGTCCAAAGCTGACTGATCAGTGGGGCAAGAGAAATGGTATTTTTCAGTATCTCTCACGGGACGAGACCTCTGAAGGATTTTGTAAGCATTTGTTGGCAAACTGGAAAACACAACCGGGTAACTCCCAGAGGGGACAGGAGCTTTTTAGGGGACACAGTGGAAAGTAGAAGCCCAAGGGGAGGGAAGGGAACGGACCCAGGCTGCAGCAGCAAGCTGGATGGGGGAGGGGAAAGGGGGCCTGGCCCAGTAAGGGCCTGGGAGCCAATGAAGATTCCACAGAGAGATGGGAGGGGGATGGGAAGGCCTGGGGGCATTACCAGAACAGGTGAAGTCTCCAGGGGACATAAAACAAATAAACACCAAGCAAGAGAAGCCTTCCAAAACGTTTGTAATCCCTTACTAACCGCCAGGCAATATGGTGGGTGACTTTCAGAGACTCGTGGCTAAAAAACTCAAACACACTCTATTTGTGTAGGAAAAGCCTGCACTGGCCAGCCACAGTGACTAAATTTCCACAATTAATCAAATCATTTGATGAAGGCAAGATTTGTTAATCAGGATCCAAGGCCCAAGGACCTTGAATTCAGGGGGTCCGTGAACTTGGATGAAGAAAAAAATTAAATTATATCTGCATTCTCACCTAACTGAAATTTTAATTGTGAATGTAGTCAACACACCTTAGCACCACCTAAGACTTCATCACCAATAGAAATCATAGGTATTTTTGCATGACGTTACCGTCGCTATGAATATTTCGAGATATCATTGATGCTCAGGATATTTTCAAATTAAGAAAACTATTAGATATGCCTCTAGGTCTTGTTTTCTGATATATCAATGAAGAAGAACACGTTACTATTTCACATTTCAAAACATATTTTGAGGGGTGCCTGGGTGGCTCAGTCGGTTAAGCGTCCGACTTCAGCTCAGGTCATGATCTCACGGTCCGTGGGTTTGAGCCCCGCGTCGGGCTCTGTGCTGACAGCTCAGAGCCTGGAGCCCGTTTCAGATTCTGTGTCTCACTCTCTCTCTGCCCCTCCCCTGTTCATGCTCTGTCTCTCTCTGTCTCAAAAATAAATAAACGTTAAAAAAAATAAAAAAAAAACATATTTTGAGAGCAGTATTTCAATACAGTTGGTTTCCTTTGTATTTCATTTTATGCATTTCAAACCACTTTCTGACAAGAGGCCCATGGAAGAACAGAGTAATCATAATGAAGGCATTGAAAGTCACATATAAAAGCTCATGTGAGTAATTGTCACTGGTGTCCTTTAACACACATCAGAAGAGCTTCGTCCCCCCCAGGAAAGAAAGGGTGCTGCAGAAAAGGTGAATACTGATGAGGCAAAAGGAACAGGAGGATCTGCTTCAGAGGACAGAGCTGGGTGTTGGCACCATACCTGGGGAATCTTCAGCACCCCGGAAGGACATGCTTCAAAAAAGAGAAAGCCGGAAGATCTGTTACCACACAACAAACAAACAAAGATAAAACAACCTTCTCTGCAAGGTGATGTGGATTGGAGGATGAGTCAGCTGAGACATGGGTGTTTGTTAAAAATACAGATTTTCAGGGGCGCCTAGGTGGCGCAGTCGGTTAAGCGTCCGACTTCAGCCAGGTCACGATCTCGGGGTCCGTGAGTTCGAGCCCTGTGTCAGGCTCTGGGCTGATGGCTCGGAGCCTGGAGCCTGGAGCCTGTTTCCGATTCTGTGTCTCCCTCTCTCTCTGCCCCTCCCCCGTTCATGCTCTGTCTCTCTCTGTCCCAAAAATAATAAATAAACGTTGAAAAAAAATTAAAAAAAAAATACAGATTTTCAGGCGTTGGGTTGAGCGTGAGAATCTGTATTTTTAAGAAGCACCCCACGCGGTGTGGCGCTAAAACCCAAGCAGGGAGTCTTGACTATATAAGAATGTTGGGATGGAAGAATATGCTGTAGCTTTCCAGGGAGTAACTCGGCTATCCTTGACATGCTAATTTGTACCTGAATTCCCGAGAAATGGAGATTGCATCCCTGTGTGTGTCATAATCCAGCCCCCTACTGGAGCAGGTGGACCTTCTCCCTCCAGGAATTTTAAATCCTGTGTCATTCATGAACGTATGGCCCCATATTTTTCAAAGCACCAGATCGGGGCTTTCCTTGGCCTAAATGAATCTTTTTAAGTAGGTCCGAACTCTAACTACACTTCCCATCTCAGTTTTAGAGGACTGGGATATTTGCTTATTAACAAATACTTATTATGCAAATCATAATGTTCTAACTTTAGTGTAACTGAATGCAGTTTGGGATTTGGGGGGGGAAAGTTCTGAGGAGTAAATCCACAGTATGTTTCAAAGAGAGATTTAAATTGCTAATTTCCTAGCATCGGAATGTGAGTAAGGATTGTCACAGACTTAGCATGCAAACCACGTATTTAACATTCCTGTGTAGTAACGGTCTCTTAAGTTGTGTTTTGGTTTGAGAAACAGCAAGAACAAATATAGCACGAGGGGGAAACTTTGTTGTTTATTTTTAAGGGGATAAAAATTTATGAGGAGCTTTTGCTCACCAGAAAAGAGCTTTCTCTTTAGTCTCCCACATGATTTTATACCTCTAGTCACATTGGAAAGAACTTGTTTCCCAATGCTCTCGGAGTTCTGCATTTCGCTTCCCAGAACAGGGAAGTAAAGGGCTATGAAACACACAGACACACACAGACACACACACACACACACACACACACACACACACACCAGAAATGTGAACAACAAGCATATCACCAGACAATATATGTGATTTGAAACAAAGACATAATTATTTGCCTGTGACTCGGAGAGTTGTGCTGGGGGTGCTGTGAGGGACTGGAACTGGTCTCTCCTTGCCCAACCCTCCTGGTAATCTTAACCACTTCCTCCACATTCATTCTCTTTTGAGTAGCCAACACATGGCATTTGGACTGCAGCAAAACCTCATTGTGACATTTCAATGGCATAATTAGTGACGATTCAGTCAACGTGTGTTGGGAACCTTCCACATATACCAGGATCTGGTCTCAGCCTTGTTTGTACATCGGCTCATTGACTCTTCATAATAACTCCATTAGGTGGGTTTTATCATCCCCATTTTACAAGTGGCTGGCATAGAGTAAGCACTCATTGAACAGTACTTATTGTTTTAAGTCGTCATTATTACTTTTATGAATAACTTCCATATGAGGCAATCAGGACACTTTCAGACTCTTACTTGAGCCTTGGAAAACAGGTTCGGTTTTGGTGGCTGGAGACAGGGGGGAGGCAGAGGGTAGTCCAGTATAAACCCAAGGCTGAAGGAAGGAAACTGTAAGGAATACATGAAAAATGAGGAGTAAATTTGCTTGTTTGTGTTGAGTTTGTAGAGAGGCATGTCTGGAGCCGTGCCTGGAAAGATAACTGCGGGTCTCGTTTTGGAGCCTTGCTTGGCCAGAGAGTTTGGACATAAATTTAAAGGCAGTGGAGGGGCGCCTGGGTGGCGCAGTCGGTTAAGCGTCCGGCTTCAGCCAGGTCATGATCTCGCGGTCTGTGAGTTCGAGCCCCGCGTCAGGCTCTGGGCTGATGGCTCAGAGCCTGGAGCCTGTTTCCGATTCTGTGTCTCCCTCTCTCTCTGCCCCTCCCCCGTTCATGCTCTGTCTCTCTCTG